ACTTTATTTTCTTAGGCTCCAAAATCACTGCAGATAGTGACTGCAACCGTGAAATTAAAGATACTTGCTCCATGGAAGAAAAGCTATGACAAACCTAGACAGCATATTAGAAAGCAGAGACATTACTTTGCCGACAAAGGTCTGTCTAGTCAAAGCTATGGTTTTCCCAATAGTCAGGTATGGATGTGAAAGTTGGACTATAAAGAAACCTGAGTGCCAAAAAATTGATGCTTTTGAACTGAGGTGTTGGAGAAGACCCTTGAGAGTCCCTTGGACTGCAAGGAGATCAAACCAGTTCATCCTAAAGGAAATCAGTCCTGAATATTCATTGGAAGGACTGATGCTGAAGCTGAAACTCCAATACTTTGGTCACCTCGTGTGAAGAACTGACTTATTTGAAAAGACCCTGATGCTGGGAAAGATTGAAAGCAGGAGAAGGGGACAACAGATGAGATGATTGGATGGCATCACTGACTCAATGGACATGAGCTTGAGTAAACTCTGGGAGTTGGTGATGGACAGGGAAGCCTGGTGTGCTGCAGCCCATGGGGTCACAAAGAGTTGGACATGACCGAGTGACTGAACATAACTGATAATCATAAAGTACGGAATTCTGAAGTTAAGATACATTTCACTCACAATAAACACTTCTTTATGTTACTACTTAATCTTCACAATTATCCTTATAGCTCTAGAAGAGGCAAACATGTGGCTGTATCAAAATCTCTGTAAGAAGACCCCTAAGCTTAGACTCATAACTGTTTTCCTTTTTTTTCTAGCTAGAGTAGATATTGCTGATGTTAACTTATTCATGCAGATTTTTATTGCACTACTTCTCAATGATCATGAAGATGGTTCATCCTGTGTGTTGCCATATTGCTTCTCTAGAGAACTGTTACTTACAGTGTACTTACTTACAATATTATATCTATGAGTTACTTTTGCTGCAACATCAGGCACATAGTTGCTTTTACACATTTTGACAATTAACATTTTTAAATGAGGTCCTAAATCTGCTTTAATCTGCATTTCTCTGATGCCAGTAGGCAGGTTCTTTTTTGCGCATGACTATAACTGCTTGTGTGAAATGCCTTTGTATTGTGATTAAAAATTTGAATGAGTGCCTAGTTTGAGGTCTTCTCTTAGACGAGAGAAAAGCAATAGAGGATTGCAGCACTGCAGCCCAGGATGTGAGAATGGCACTTAGGGCTTTAATAATTGGGTTAATAACTCCTTCTGGAATCTTCCTAAGAAAGCTCAGCTGTTCCAGAATCTTAAGTGCAAGTCTCTTCTGCTACCCAGAGCTACTAATACTAAGTGAGAAAAGTGATTCTGTAACACCCTTGGCTGTGCTGAAGTCAAGAGTGGAAATGACATAAGTTCCCCCTGTTTATGAAAAAGAGCTGGACATCAGCCTAAGTTACAATAATGCAAATGAAAATTACGTGACTGGAGAGTTAATTTGCTTCCTAGTGACTGTGAAGAAATAGAGTGTCCTTGAGTGTTGTAAGAGTCCATGGTTTAAACCCCTGGCCCAGAGAAGTGAAGTGACTCACCTAAATTCACACAGCAAACTAGACCCCCAGCTCTGAACGCCCCTTGCATCTTTCCTGTGTCCTGAATGTGAATGTGAACGAACCTGTGATTGTCTCCTTCTTGGGGCCGCCCTCCCCTCATGCAGAGTGGCCTCCTCCCAGCCTGGATGATCTCTGGAACACAGCTCTGGGAACACGTTCTGAAATGGGAGTTGGTTTCCTTTCCCACATAGCTTCCAACAAGAACCCTGGGCCTTTCCTCTCTGGGAACTCAAAGTCTTGCACCATACATGGTTCTGAGCAGTAGCTAAAATACTTTTCCAAGCACAAGTCCTTCTTCTGAAAGATGACAAATGTTAGAAATGGGACCTGTGTGAAGGTGAGGGGTTCTGACTATATCAGTAAGGCTTTTTGGTTTAACACCTCACTGCTTTTTCTCTGGCCTGATTAGATGATGGGGAATGACATTTGATTAACACATGCCTATAGTAGGCACTATCTCATTTCATTTCTTAAAAACAACTATGGAGTAAGAGATTCAGAAATGGAGGCTCAGAGAGGTTAGGTTACTAACTCGACCAGCTCCCAGAGCTAAGATGTCACTATCTAACTGATCCTCACTGAGGAAAGGAATGGCCAATCAGAACCACATGGGAGCTTTTTCAAACTACGCATGTATGCTTCCCATTGAGAATCACTGCACCCTACAGGGCCATGTGTAGGATTTGTCTGCCCAGGGTGCCATTCCATGGATGTTCTACTCTAGACAGGTGTCTGCAAACTGGTGACATACTGTAGGCGGCTCACTGTACTGGCGGGTCCCACATCCACTGATATAGACAGCTGACTGTGCTTTGCAATTTTCTATGAGGGACTTGAGCATCCACAGATTTTGGTATTCTGGCGGGGGGCGGGGGGTGGTTCTAGAACCAATCCCCTGAAGATACTGAGGGTCAACTGTAATAGGCAGGATATAGAAATCCATGCAGAGGGGCTTTAACAAAGACAAGGAAAATAAGCATCTGGAAAAATCCCTTAGAGATGAGTAGAAGAACCCTAATGATTGGGACACAGGGGAGTATAACTCGAGACCAGAGAAGAGAGCAGTCTTGGTGGAAGGGCGCGAGAGGACAGGGCCCAGGGCAGGCTGACCAGTTTTCCAGGAAATATGTGGTGGGGGAAAGGGCTTTGGCACAGGACTTGGGAGCAAATTGTGGCAGAATCTCTGTCTAGCACACTCAGAACAGAGAGGCAGCAGCTGAAGGAAGAGAAGCACTTGACCAAGAATTCTAAGACCTAGTCCTGGCTGTGTGAGTTCAGGCAAGTCACATCACTTCTCTGTGTCTTTTTCTTCACAATAGTCATAAAAATAACCTTCTCTGGCTACCTCTCAGGGGATCATGGAAACTGAAGGAGTTAACTTATATCAAAGTGTTTTATAAATAATGAAACACTGTACAAAAGAGTTCTAATTCACTGTCACTCAGAATTTCAGCCCCTTAGTTTGTTCTCGGCTCTATTTTATTGGCAGCATTTGATGTTTTTTGAGATCCTCTGCAGTAAAGCCTGGCACAGGGAAGGCTTCCTACGTTACTGTCTCCTGATCTTGTTGGACCTTTAGCCCAACTAGTATAACTTTCTACTATGTAGAAGATACTCTGATAACAGTCTGATTGGCCTTTAAAAAACCCAACTATTGTTCTTAAAAAAGAGGTTTGGGTGTTTTTTTGTGTGTGAAAAGTTCACTTATATAAGACTATATATAACATGAAAGTACAATTTAAAGAATAATAAAACAAACTGCATAGTAAGTGTGATTGCTCCCACTGTCCTTCCCTGATGTATTCTCTTCACTGCACATTCATTTCCTCATTTGTGTTCATCTTCCTTTTGCTTTAAAAAAATAGTTGTATCACATACATACTATCCCTAAGCAGTATCATTTAGTTTTTCATGTCTCTGAACTTTTTATAAAGGTGATCATATTATAAGTATTCTTCTATAACTTGCTTTTCACATCAGTGATTTCCCTGTGTGGACAGATCCAGTTGTAGTTCATTCATTTTCATTGCTGTATAGTACTCCACTGTGGGAATATACCATAATTTATGTATCTGTCCCACAGTGAATAGACAGTTGAGTTTCTTCCAGTTTGGGGATATTATAAACAATACTTGTATATGTCTCCTGCTTCATATGTATAAGAGTTTATATAAATCCCACTTGCCATATCAAAAAGAATAAAATACATAGGAATAAATCTACCTAAAGAAGTAAAAGACCAGTACTCTGAAAACTGTAAAATGCTAAAAAAAGAGATCAGACGACACAAGCAAATGGAAAGGTATACTGTGTTCTTGGATTGGAATAATCAATATTGTCAAAATGACTACCTTACTGAAGGCAACTACAGATTCAGTGTAATTCCTATTAAATTACCAGTGGCATTTTCCACAGAACTAGAACAACAAAAACATTTAATTTGTATAGGAACACAAAGAACCTAATACCCAAGCAATCTTGAGAAAGAAAAGTGGAGTTGGAGGAATAGAGCTGAAGCTGACTATGCTACAAAGCCACAGTAATCAAAACAGTATGGTACTAGCATTAAAAATAAAAATATAGATCAATGGAACAGGATAGGAAGCCCAGAAATAAATTCACATACCTATGGCCAATTAATCTATGACAGAAGAGGCAAGAATATACAATGAAGAAAAGATACTCTTCAATAAGTGGTGCTGGGAACTGGACAGCTACATATAAAAAAATTAAATTAGAACATTTCCAATATCATGCAGAAATAAACTAAAGATTAATCAAAGACCTAAATGTAACACTTGATAGTATAAAACTCCTAGAGGAAAATATGAAAAGGACACTCTTTCACATAAATCATAGCAATATCTTTGTGGATTCATCTCCTAGAGTAATGGAAACAAGAGCAAAAATAAACAAGTGGGAACTTAAAAGCTTTTGCACAGAAAAGGAAACCATAAACAAAATCAATAGACAACCTACAGAATGGGGGATAATATTTGCAAATGATGCAACAGACAAGGGATTAATCTCCAAAATACACAAATAGCTCATACAACTCAACATAAAAAAAAAAAACCCATAAACAACCCAACCAAAAATGGGCAGAAGATCCACATATACATTTCTCCAAAGAAAACATATAGATGGCCAAAAAGCACATGAAAAGAGGCTCAACATCACTAATTATTAAAGAAATGCAAATCAAACCTACCACGAGACATCACCTCACACCAGGCAGAATGACCAAATAATAAATGTTGGGGAAGATGTAAAGAAAAAGGAACCCTCTACTGTTGGGAGGAATGTAAATTTGTACAAGCACTATGGAGAATAATATGGCGGTTCCTTAGAAAGCTACAGGTAGGTGTTCGCAGCCGCCGCCGCGCCGCCGCCGTCACTCTCCAACGCCAGCGCCACCTCTAGCTCGCCGAGCTCCAGCCGAAGGAGGAGAGGGGTAAGTCAGGAGGTCTCTCTACCGTGGCTCTTACAAAGCAGACTGCCCGCAAATCGACCCGTGGTAAAGCACCGAGGAAGCAACTCGCTACAAAAGCCGCTCGCAAGAGTGCGCCCTCTACTGGAGGGGTGAAGAAACCTCATCATTACTGGTTTGGTACTGTGGCACTCCGTGAAATTAGACGTTATCAGAAGTTCACTGAACTTCTGATTCGCAAACTTCCCTTCCAGTGTCTGGTGCGGGAAATTTCTCAGGACTTCAAAACAGATCTGCGCTTCCAGAGTGCAGCTATTGGTGCTTTGCAGGAGGCAAGTGAGGCTTATCTGGTTGGCTTTTGGAAGACACCAACCTGTGTGCTATGCCATGCCAAACGTGTAACAGTTATGCCAAAAGACATCCAGCTAGCACGCCGCACACGTGGAGAATGTGCTTAAGGATCCACTATGATGCGAGACATTTCATTCTTTAAAAAAAAAAAAAAATTCTCTTCTTCCTGTTATTGGTAGTTCTGAACATTAGATTTTTTTTTTTCCATGGAGTCAAAAGGTACCTAAGTATATGACTGCAAGTGGAAAAATAGGGGACAGAAATCAGGTTTTGGCAGTTTTTCCATTTTCATTTGTGTGTGAATTTTTAATATAAATGCAGGGACATAAAGCATTAATGAAAGTCAAAATGTTTCAGGGAACAAGTTTCAGCAGTTCAACTTTATAACAATTATAAATAAACCTGTTAAATTTTTCTGGACAATTCTAGCATTTGGATTTTTTTAAAACAAGTAAATTTCTTATTGACTGCAAAAACAAAAAAAAAGCTAAAAATAGAGCTACCATATGATCCTGCAATCCCACTCATGCACATATATCCAGAGAAAACCATAATTTGAAAAGGTGCATGCACCCAAATGTTCACTGCAGCAGATGTGAAAACAACCTTAACATCCATCAACAGATGAATGGATAAAGAAGATGTGGTACATATATACAATCGAATACTACTCAGCCATAGAAAAGAATGAAATAATGCCATTTGCAGCAACATGGGTAGACATGTTGCAGCTAGACATTATCATACTAAGTGAAATAAGCCAGTCAGAGAAAAGCAAATGTCATATGATATCACTTATATGTGTAATCTAAAAATCTTATACACATAACTTATTTACAAAACAGATATAGGCTCACAAACATAGAAAACAAACCTCTGGCTACCAAAGGGGAAATATGGGGGTGGGAGGAGGGATAAATTAAGAGGTTAAGGTTAACATATACATATCACACTACTATATATAAAACAGATAACCAACGAGGACCTACTGTATATAGCACAGGGAACTATACTCAATAGTTTGTAATTATCTATAAGGAAAAAGAATCTGAAAAGGACTGAATATAAGTATATGTGCGTGTGTGTGTATGTGTGTATATATATCTATATATATATAGATATAGATATAGATATAGGTATGTACAACTGAATCACCATGCTTTTCACCTGAAACTAACAATATTGTAAATCAACTATATTTAAACCTAAAAAAACTATCAAAGAAAGAATTTATATACATCTAGAAGTGCTGGGTTGTATGGAATGTATGTCTTTTAATTTTTTTATTGAAAAATTTTCAATTGAAATACAGTTGATGTACAATATTATGTTTCAGGTTACTACATAATGATTTGACATTAGTATACATTACAAAATGATCACAATGTCTAGTAACCATCTGTTCCCATACAAAGCTATTACAATATTATTGACTGTATTGCTTATGCCATATACTATAACCCTGAGAAGTACATATATCTTTAACTTTGTAATATAAAGCCAAACTGTTCCCAGTGGCTGTACCAATTAACTTCCTCATGAACAGTATATGAGAATTCACACTGTTCTACATCCTGGCCACTGCTTGATATTGTCTTCTAAATTTTTGCTAACCTAATAGCTGTGGAATTGTATCTCAATTTGGTTTTAGCTTGTTTTTCCCTTATTACTAAGGAGGCTGAGCAGCTTTTCACATGCTTATGGTCCTTTTAGTATTTATCTCTGAAGTGCCTGTTCATGTCTTCTGCCCATTTAAAAAAAAGTTGTTTACTCATCTTATTGATTTGTAGTAGCTCTTTATAGATGCTGGATGCTAGTTCTCTGACAGTTAAATGTGTTATTTTCTCCCAGCCTTCAGCTTATCTTATGCTCTGTACCTTTTTTTTCTTTTTCTTTTGGTGAATAGAAGTTCTTAGTTTTAGTGAAGTCAACTGAAATCTTTTCTTTTGTCTTTTCCTTTCACTTTATGTATTGTATTGTTAAAAAATTATTATTATTGTTATTTTAACCTGAAGTAAGAAAGATAATCTGTATTTTCCTCTCTAAAAATTCCAAATGTCTTTCTTGGGACTGTTCTCTTTCAAGCTCCTGAATATTTCCATAAAATGTTTCTGGGAGCCTGAGGTTATTTCCAGTCCACTGGGCCTCCTCTCAGCACAGAGGGCATTGAGTTCTGACAAATGCCAAGAGAAAGACTCCATTCACAGAGCGGGCTGGTGGGCGCTGCCAAACTCAGCTCTCAAAGGCCCCATGTGTCCCTCCCTCTCCAACAGCCTCACACCTCTAGGGGGCGCCTTCACACCAGGCATCCAGCTCCCTGCAGTCTGCCCTGGCTCCGAGGTGGTGTCCAGCTTCTGCCAAGGATGCTCTGACCTCTCTCTGGGTAGCTGCCCCCAGCCCTCACCCAGCCTCACACTGAGCTGACAAGGCCAGGCTTCTCTTCTCGTTTTTGAAGGAACCACACAGAAGCTTCCTAGCTAGTCCTGCTCTCCAATCTGCCCTCCCCTCCTCCTGTCTCTTCCTTCCTTGGAATCTTCTTGACTCCATATCGTCTTCTTGGGGCCCCTTGGCAATAATCTCTTACTAGGGCAGATGCTGCTATGGTTTAAGCTTACCCCAGGACTTCCATGGTGGTTTAGTAGTTAAGAATCCACTTGCCAATGCAGAAGACATATTTTTAATCGCTGCTCTGGGAAGATCCCACATGCTGTGGGGCAACTAAGATTGTGTACCACAAGTACTTGAGCCTGCACGCTGCAGCTGCTGAAGCCCATGTGCTCTAGAGCCTGTGCTCTGCGACAAGGGAAGCCACTGCAGTGAGAAGCCTGCACACCACCACGAGAGAGTAGCTCTCCACTCGCCTAAACTAGAGAAAGCCCATGTACCACAGTGAAGATCCAGTGCAGCAAAAACTAAACTTAGATGTACCCCCAAGCCTCTGCAGCATTGTAACTGCTGTTAACTACAGGCTTCCCAAAGGATCAAAACATTTAGGGGCCACAAAAGGTATAAAACATAAGTTTAAGGCCTCATAACTTTGCCTGTTTGTATTCAGTTTTGCCTTGCCTTTTCACCTCCACCATCTGATCGCTGGCTTCATGACTTAAGGAGAGTGTAAGCTACTGCCAGGACCGCTCTCTGGCCAAGAAGCAGGGTGAGGCCTGCGGCCTGGGATGTGGAAGGCAGGTGGGCCACATGGATCTATGGGGTATATAAGCTGAGTCTGGTACACTTTTCACTTTTCCTGTGTTTATGTTCTTCCCAGGACAGCTAGCACTGAGCACATCTGTGTATATGTAGGCACATCCTTATTCATCCACTAATTCTACAAGTATTTCCTGAATACCACAAAGGGCACAGTGATGAAGGAAGCATGCAAGCACGTGACACATGTACTAAACAAATACTGAAGAATGAGGTGTTCCAGAGTCTTGGACTCTGCGGCAATTGGGCAGAGTCAGGCTAGAGTTATAGGTCAGTCTAAGCATCACTAAAATATTTTCTGTAAAGGACCAGATAGTATTTCAGGCTTTGTGGGCTTCATATCTCTCTATTGCATGCTGTTTGTTTATTTGTATGCCTTTAAAAACCTTTCTCAGCTTGTAGCCCATATAAAACCAGGTTGGGGGTCTGTGGGTTAATCTACATTGCAATGACAAACTCCCAGTCTAAGTTGTCACATTAAAGGTTTGTTCTGGGTCACTTCACCATCCAGAGCAGGTCGGTGAGTTTCCTACTGTCCTTTATGCAGTGACTCAGGACCCAGACCACCTCCCTCTATGAGGCCACCATCTATGCCACCCCTGTTAACTGTGAAAGAAGAGAGGGTTGTAGGCTTGAATGAGGTCTTTTAAGGGCCACATCCCTTCTGTGTACACTGTCGTGGTTAGAACTCAGATGGTCCCAACCTAACAGCAAGTTGTTTGCCTGTGTGTTAGGAAAGAGGCAGCAAACTGGTGAAGCCCGGTATGGTTTCTACCACAGACAAAAAGTTTAAGATGCTCCTGTCTCAGCAGCCTTTAGGATGTAGCTGGGGAGAAAGAGGGGCATGTCAGTTCAGTTCCGTTCAGTCGCTCAGTTTTGTCCGACTCTTTGCGACCCCATGGACTGCAGCATGGGTGTAAAGAGGGGCATGTCGGAAGAGTTGATTAAGAAATTCAACTGCAAATGCTATGTCAATGGTATTCTGAAGACAGCAATAACTAAAATATAACCAAGATGTAGGAGTTCATAGGACCAAGAGATCAGATCCTGAGCTGGAGTTGCTGGATAAAATTTCAAGGACAGGGTGGGATCTGAATTAGGTTTTGAAGGAGTGGCAAGATTCTGAGGAAGGAGAACTGTTTCCCAGGAAAACAGGAAGCAGAGTAAACAAAGGGTCACACAGAGAAGGTGTGAAAGCCCAGAGCTAACACAGGTAAAGACCAGGCCCTAACCAGTCCTAATGATTACTGGTCAGGTGAATCTCAGTAGTACGATTGGAGAGGAGGTTCCTACGGAAAGACTGGGGTGGAGGTGGGATGTTGAGGTGGGGGTGCTCAGGACAGCAGCCAGAGGTGCTTCCTGGAAGTTTAACCCCCCCTGCTAGAGTATTTTAGAATTTTAACAACAGGACAGCTCCATCTGAGCACAAAGGCTAAACATCTGCCTTATATTGAAGAGAGGCAGCTGAGGATGGAAAGACAGACTGGAGTTAAATTGTGAAGGGCTTTGAATGCCAGGGTGTTTGGGATTCCCAAAACAAAGATAAACATCACTTATTTTTAGAGTTAAAGCTCAGGGAACCCCCCCCCCCAAATATCTAATAATGAATGATTAAATAAACAAGTGTATCTATATAATGGAAAAGCCCATAATCATTAAAATCAAGTTTCTGAATACTCATTAATGACATGGAATAAGTGAAAAAAATTGTATATAGAGTATAATACCAAGTTAATAACTGCAAATATGAAGAACCAACATCAAACTGTAAACTGTGGTTATTTCTGGATGGTAGTATTATACTTGATTTCTTGTTTTCCTCATTACTTTTGTCTATAATGAGCACATTTTACTTCTATACTGAATATGTAATAAATGCTCTTTTCCAAAAGCAAAGGTTAAATGTGGAGTTTGGCACAGTGGTTGCCACTGCTACTGTCTTATTATTCCCAAGCAGGCAACTTGGTCCTCAGTTTCACAGTATCCAGGACCTGGCTGCCCACGTGATGCAGTTCACGGTGGCAGACCACCCTCTGTCTCTGTGGTGTTTGACTCTACCTGCATTGAGCACAGGACTGGGAAAGCATCATATTGTCATCATTCCTGAAAGGTCCCCGGGTGTACTTGTAATTCCAGCAATTCCCTGAGGCATCAGGGGTCCAGAAAAGGCATGTGACCTCCCTGAGCACGTGCTACAGTGTCCTGGGAATGCCAAGGACCAATACAGAACTGTAGGCATCGAGAGCACATTCAGATGCAAATTCTCACTTTATCATTGAGAAAACTGAGGCCAGAAGGAAAACTCTTGCCCAAGGTCACACAGTGAATTAGGGCTAGTAGGGACTTGGGTCCATGGATTCAAGGTCTTGGGCTCTGTTATCAAGTCACAGGCTCTTGGACAACTGTCTTTCCTGGGTTTTGGTCAAATCTGTTTTTTGTCTACTCATACCTACAGAGTCAGATGTATTTTGGGTTACAGTTCATGGAATGGTGTCTATTCTTGTATGTTTGGTTTTCATGGCTCCCTGGTGGTATGGCAGTAAAGAACCCACCTGCCAAGGCAGGAAACTCAAGAGACATGGTTTCGATCCCTGGGTTGGGAAGATCCCCTGGAGAAGTAAATGGCAACCCACTCTAATATTCTTGCCTGGGAAATCCCATGGACAGAGGAACCTGGTGGGCTTTAGTCCATGGGGTTACAGAGTCAGACATGACTGAGTGAGCATGCATGCACGCACTCATGCATTATATATATATATATATATATAGTACAGGTTTCTTCAACTAAATTCTAATCTTGTTCAAGTCTAACACAGTATGAAAATGGTGAAAATATTCTTTGAAAACAGCCAGGAAGTTTCTCAAAAAGTTAAACGTAGTGTTACCCAGCAAATTCCCTTCCAAGGTATGAACCCAAGGGAACTGAACGCCTATGTCCACACAAAACTTGTAAACCATTGTTCATGGCAGCAATATTCATATGACCAAAAAGTAGAAACAACCGAAACATCCATCATCAACCTGTGAGTGGATAAACAAAATGTGCTACAGATGTGGAGAACAAAGCAGCAGTTACCAGTGAAGAGAGGGAAGTGGGAAGGGGCAAGACAGGGATAGGGGAGTAAGAGGCACAAACTGTTAGGTATAAAATAAGCTACAAGGATATATTGTACAACATGGGAAATACAGCCAACATTTCTTAATAACTATAAATGGAGTATAACCTTTAAAATTGTGAATCAAATATATTGTACACCTGTAACTTACATTGTATAGCAACTATACTTCAACAAACAATTTTTTAAGGAGCTATATACATAAAATGGCATCTTACATGGAAATAAAAAGGAATGAAGGGCTGTTAAGTGCTAAACATGGATGAACCTTTAAAATATATGCTGGAATTCCATGGTGGTCCAGTAGTTAAGAATCTGCTTGCTAATGCAGGGGACATGGGTTCAATCCCTGGGCCGGGAAGATTCCATGTGCCATGGCACAACTAAGCCTACGCACCACAACTATTGAGACTGAAGCCCACGACTACTGAAACCCAGGCACCCTGGAACCTCTGCTCTGCAACGAAAGAAGCCACTGCAACGAGAAGCATGCACACTGCAAATAGAGAAATCCCGAGTGCAGCAACGAGTAACCAGCACAGCCAAAAATAAAGAAATGAATACTTTAAAATATATGCTAAGTGAAAGAAGACAGTCACCAAAGACCACATGTTGTATAATTCCACTTACATGAGATGTCCAGAACAGACAATTCCACAGAAGCAGAGAGTATATTAATGGTTTCAAGAGGCGTTGGAGTGAGGAGAACGGAAAGTAACTGCTAATGGATATGGGGTTTCTTTACTGAAACACACCAGAGATTTTTACAAAGACTTTTAGGTCCTCACAGACATATTTACAGCTGTCCATGAGGGACCAGGGTTGACACATGAAATTCTAATTTGAACCATAAAAATTAAGAGTTTCATCAAGTGTTTTAGCATTGTCCAAGTACAACTTGCATCTAATACTCCTTTAATTTACTCAGACCAAATCTAGGAGGAAGGCAGAGCAGAATAACCATCCTCTGTCACTGACACATACACACACACAAATGAGGCTCAAGCAAGTTAAGTAATCTGTTATGGCCACTAGGATGGTCCCTGGCTCCCTGGCTGAGTCTTGCACATGAAAGCCTGCTCCTCTCTGCAATTGGGTCCTGTGCCCTCCTGCTAATCGTGACATGACAGAGGATTCTCTGCAACTTCAGATCTTTCTTTCATCCTGGGTGTAGAAACGCAGAAGCTCTGGGGATAAGGAGGCAAGCTAGAGAACCCCAAGCAAAGGTACCCTCAGAGGTGCAAGCTAACAGAGCCCGTTCTAGTCACACCCTTCCCTTTGGCACCATCCCACAGCTGAGGACTGAAAAACGTCACAGTCCTGCCGACACTAAAGCAAGCCTGTTTGGGATCCAAACACCCATCACGCTATCTTCTTGCCCCTGCTGTTTACAGGACAGCAGGAAGGCTGCAGGTTGCCAGTTTTAGCTGGTAAACCAGGCTCCCTTCACCCAACATCTCTTGGCCTGATTTGTCCCCTGAAATTTCTCAGGCCTTTGGAGGAGTGCAGGGGTGGGGGGTGGGGGACAGGATGTGGTGGGAAGGCAGAAACCATCCCTTCTGGTTTGGAGCATATGTCCTTTAATTCATCAGTTAGGTGTTCAAGAACATAACAGTGAGTGTGACTTTCAAACCTAGAAGGTTTCAAGTTGGGGAGATTTTAAAATAGTGATGCTGGGGCCTCACCCCTAGAGACCTGAGGTGAGCCAGGACTTTTAAAGTTTCCCAGGCATTCTCATGAATGGCCAGGTTGGCAAACTGCCATACTAAGTTCAAGGATTTGAATAGATCCCCCTACCCTACTTCCATCGGTGAGTTCTAGCCACTCCGTCCTAGAGGTTTTGCTCATTCTGAATTTAAAACGTTGTGTGAATGCCTTTCCACATAAATCGAGTCACGGGTAGGAGATATGGGGTGTAAGAAGGCTGGTGAATTTCTTGGCTCTACCACTCACTGTCAAGAGAGGCAGTATATAAAGGAAGGCTATGGACACAGACCTTCTGGCCTTGCAACCCGACTCCACTGCTAAGTCATTCAGTGGAGCAGAATGTACTGCTAAGCCATACTAAGCCTCAGTTTCCTTATCTGTGAAATGGGTCTGTGGGCTATTGAAGGGACGTGGGCTGGGAAGAGCACTCACTTGCATGACCCTGAGCTCGCATGTCTCCTTAAGTTTTGCATCCTGCACACCTCGCTGGCCCACCTTTGTCCTTGTTCTGAGGAGGGGCGAGGTGATAAAGTGTGCCCAGTGCCCGAACACTTCAGGAGCTCAATAAACGTTCACTAGGAGCAAGAATTGGGCCTACAACCCAACTTTTAAATCAGCCAACTTCACTGTATTTTATCCCCTCCCAACCAATTAAGCTCCATTTGTTTCCCATAGAGAACACAATTGTGGTTGCCAAAGGGGAGAGTGGTGGAGGGAAGGGTTGGGACTTTGGGATTAACAGATGCAGACTATTAACGGATAAACAAGGTCCTACTAAATAGCACAGGGAATATCCTGTGATAAACCATAATGAAAAAGAATATATGTGTGTGTGTTTGTGTGTGTATATATAACTAAATCACTTTACCGTCCAGCGGAAATCAACACAACATTGTAAATCAACTATACGTCAATAATTTTTTTTAATTAAAAATTCCATTCCTTTCTATTTAAGTTAACCCAATTCAATCTCCTTAGTCCACCCTCCCCCAATCCTCGAAGTTTTTCAAACTGGTCAAAGCAACTTAATTTGATATAGTTCAATTCTAACATGCCTCCACCCACAGAGTTGACATTTAATAACAACGAAAATTCAGGACGTCCAGTTAAATTTGAATTTTAGATCATTGAGCCAAAGTTTTAGTATATGACCCATGCTATATTCAAATTTAAATTAGAAATAAGTTTGCAGTGTTTTAAAATAAAAATTCAAATGTAAGCACACTGTGTTTCATCTGGCAACCCCACTCACTCATTACCACTCAAGCACAGTTGGGCGCTGTGCCCTCTGGTGCTTTTTCTTTTCCACCTTATAGTTCTTATGTGTTAAGATGGATTCTAAACTCTTCCCAGAAGACTGGGAGCAATGAGGAGATGTGAGCTTAACGAACCTTGCTTTATTTCACTTACTTTAGCAGAGTTCCCGGTACTGTTTGTTGAAGATGGGAAGGAAGTGAGAGAGGGAGGAAAGAAGAGAGGAAGGAAAGAAGGAAGAACGGGGTGGGGTGGGGATGGAGAAAGGAAAGTTCTGGTTTTCAGCTAATAATCTAATTTATCACGTGAAAAGCAAAAATTACTCTTTCATGTGCTTGCTTAACGTTTTGTCTTTTTAGTAATTAACATAGGTCCAGTGTCTTAAATGTTACACATGGTTTAAGTGTATATCATTTGATCTTTGTCTCTTGAGACTTTAGAAGTGTTATTTTTAACCAGGGGCAGCAGACACAGTTGGACGCCCACTCACCAGTTACTCCAGCAGGTCCCGGTCTGCCTCTTCTTGCTGGTGACGATTACAACGCTGCTCTGCTCCTCTCCGCCATTTCGAGACTCAGAAGAGGGCAGCCCCATTCCCAGCTCCAGGAGACGATTGTGGCGGGACCCTTCCTTGCTAATCTCCACGTTCACTCCCTGACATGATTCTAGCTGGTGGAATGCTGGAGCAGAGCTGTTGAGAGACTTGGAGCTGTGGTTTCCTGGCTCTTTGCAGAACTGCTGTCCTGTTCTTTTCCTGCTGAACTATGTTGTGTCTGAGGACGCAGCCTGGAGGTGGAGCAGAGACCTACAGAGCACAGAGATGGACGGAAACTGGGCCCTTGGGAACAGCACTGAGCCAATAAAGCCAAGCCTGCCTGCCCTCCCTCCCCCCTCTCATGATGTTATAATAAGACTCCTTACTGTATCAGCTGTTTCCAGCTGGGTTTTCTGCAGCCGAAAGCATCTTCACTGACACGCTCCCTCTTACAAACAAAAGCATACTGAAGCCTAAGGTGGCAGATGACCTGCCAGGGTTGCGGAGATGCTAGACTCCAGCAAGGCTCCCAGGTCCAGCTGCATCTGGATTCAGGTTCAGGGTGTCTATGCCTCACGCTCCCTTGTTAACCGTGTCTGCCTTCCGGTCTGCCACCGTAACTCAGATTCCCACTGCTTAGCTGTCTCTTTGGGTTAAGATATTGAGGACCTTTATAAAAATGCAACTACAATTGCATTTTACTTCTGAATGTGTAAATGGGCTTCCCTGGTGACTCAGCTGGTAAAGAATCCGCCTGCAATGCGGGAGACCTGGGTTCAGTCCCTGAGTTGGGAAGATCCCTTGGAGAAGGGAACGGCTACCCACTCCAGTATTCTGGCCTGGAGAATTCCCTGGACTGTATAGTCCATGGGGTCACAAAGAGTCTGACACGACTGAGCGACTTTCACTTTCACTTTCTGAATGTGTATGTGTATGCAGTGTGGTGTGGATCGCCTTTTTTTTCCTTGGGAGGTGAAAATTTATCAGTTTATACTGTATCAGGATGTTACTACATGGACATACCTGCTAACACAGTTGACTTACAGTAAAAGGGATTTTTCTCCTTTAAAAAGTACATTTTTTTCTCGAGGAATGAAATATTTTCAAAGTACGTATTTTCATATTAAGTAGAAACTATGAATAATTGATTTTCTAAAAAACATTCATAAGCCATAGGGCTAGTGAGAAAGAGATCTGAGTGCTTTTAAATTTGCTTTCAGGCCTCTCCTAATTTGTTCCTCATCTTTCACATAAACTATATATCTATCAAAATACAAAGATTTCAATCCCTTTGCTGAGAATTAAAGGCATTTAACTTGAAAAATCAATTTTTTCTATTAAGAAAAATAGTGATGACAGGGAGTATTAATGTAATGCCCCGAATTGTACACTTAAAATGGTTAAAATGGCAAATTTTATGTTACATTATGTATTTTGCTGCAATTTAAAAAATTAATACCTGAAAGCCTTAAGTTACATACTTTAAATGGATGAATTATATGATATGTGAATTATATCTCAATAAAGCTGTTTAAAAAAAAAAATAGAACCAACTATTATTTCCATTAACAAAGTGTCTTTGTCCGCTTCCATTTAAGTGTTTGAAAAGGTGATCTGATAGCTAAATAATTTCAAATGCATTAATAAAAGGGATCCATGTATGATCAGCCATTTCCAAACACTAACAATAGTTACCATGGCCTTTATAATGACTTTTGGGGGGTAATGTTTTATTTTTACATAATTTAAACTTACAGCAAAGTTGTGAGCATTTTACACATTGTTTAAATAATATATGACAACACAGACACATGAATAGGGGAAATTCACATACTCTAAAGTAAGTATTATGACATCAGGAGAAAACCCATTGTATAAAATAAATGCAACTTTGAAATAACTATAGCACTTTTAATACCACTGCAGTTTAGCATATTGCTGTTTCATGACCAGTCATAAAACAGAAGTTCCTATAAAAAGGCATGAGCACCTAATAGGTAAAGAATTTGTGCACTAATTATTACAGAAATGCAAGTCAAAATGCAAATCAAAACTACAATGAGGTAACACCTCAGTCAGTCAGAATGACCATCATTAAAAACCCTACAAATAACAAATGCTGAAGAGGTTGTGCAGAAAAGGGAACCTTCCTACACTGTTGGTAAATGAGAATGTAAATTGATGCAGTTACTATGGAGAACTATATGGAGTTTCCTTAAAAAACTGTGTGCTCACTCAGTCGTGTCTGACTCTTTGCGGCCCCATAGACTGGAGTCCACCAGGCTTCTCTGTCCATGGAATTTTCCATGGACAAGAATACTGGAGTGGGTTGTCATTTCCTACGCCAGGGGATCTTCCCAACCCGGGGATCAAATGTGCAACTCTTGCGTATCCTGCATTGGCAGGCAGATTCCTTACCACTAGTGCCACCAAGGAAGCCCATAATCCCACTCCTGGACATATATCTGGACAAAACCATGATTCAAGAAATACATTCACTCCTATGTTCAGAGCAGCACTATTTACAGTAGCCAAGATGTGGAAAAAAGCTGAATATCCACTGACAGATGAATGAGTAAAGATGTGGTACACATACACAATGGAATACTACTTAGCCATAAAAAGAATGAAATCATGCCATTTTCAGCAAAATGGACAGACCTAAGATGATCATACTAAGTGAAGTAAGTCAGAAGGAGAAAGACAAATACCATATGATATCACTTACATGTGGAATCTAAAATCTGGCACAAATGAACTTACTTACAAAACAGAAACAGACTCACAGACATAGGGAATAGACTTGCAGTTACCAAGGGGGAGAGGGGTGGGGGAGGGATGAATTAGGAGTTCAGGATTAGCAGAGACAAACTAGTATATATAGAATGTATAAACAGTAAGTTTCTACCATATAGCACAGAGAACTATATTCAATATTCTGCGATAAACCATAATGAAAAGGAATATGAAAAGAATACAGGTATATATCTGAATCATTTTGCTATATAACAGAAATCCACATGACATTGTGTACCAAGTACACTTTGATAAATTTAAAAAAATACATTGAGATACCTTCATCTGGAGCAGATGAGCCCGTCAAAGAATCCGTGCATTGAAGTTATGTGTTCAACATTTTCTCACAATAAAGCCAACCAAAATATACACGGGCCTACTTTGGAAATACATGTAGGCTTTAAATTGCTTTTAAACTATTCAATGTAAATATCTACAAATGTGGGATTTTGCAGCAAACTCACACTCTCACAGGCTGTGGTCACCCTCCCCCAGCTTCACAGCGCCCTCTGTTGATTCCCAGGACTGTGCCCTTTCCCGGTCCCCCTACACTTCCGGGTCCTGCTCTTCTGGGCTTGAGAAGAAATGGTCCTGTCCCATGACTGACTGCAGCTGTCCCTCCCCGTCACTCTAGTTTGCTGATCTCCAGGATGATCCGGGGACCGGCACCCTGAGCTGTCTCAATCGTCAGGAGGTTCTGAACGGGTGGACGGAGGCCCCAGTGGGGCAGGACTCCAGCAGTCCCCTTGACATTGGCTGGCCCGTGAGGGATCTGAGCTCATCTTTTCAGCTGCCTTATTCCATCCCTAATGGGTAGCACCCCACCTCTGCCATGCTATCCCAGTGTCTTTAACCTTAAGGTCCCTAATTCTAGGGTCCCCAGCCCAGCTCTAATTTTCAAGAACTATGATTAAAGGAGGTGGCCTTACACAGGGAGCTTGGTGCTCTGTGATGGCCTAGAGGGGTGGGATGGCGTGGGAGGGAGGCTTCAGAGGGAGGGGACATACGTATGTTGTTGTCATGTTGCTGAGTTGTTAAGTCGTGTCGGACTCTTTTGTGACCCCATGGACTGTAGCCCACCAGGCTCCTCTGTCCACAGGATTTCCCAGGCAAGAATACTGGAGTGCAGCAAACTCACACTCTCACAGGCTGTGGTCACCCTCCCCCAGCTTCACAGCGCCCTCTGTTGATTCCCAGGACTGTGCCCTTTCCCGGTCCCCTCTACACTTTCGGGTCCTGCTCTTCTGGGCTTGAGAAGAAATGGTCCTGTCCCATGACTGACTGCAGCTGTCCCTCCCCGTCACTCCAGTTTGCTGATCTCCAGGATGGTCCGGGGACCGGCACCCTGAGCTGTCTCAATTGTCGGGAGGTTCTGAACGGGTGGACGGAGGCCCCAGTGGGGCAGGACTCCAGCAGTCCCCTTGACATCGGCTGGCCCGTGACGGATCTGAGCTCATCTTTTCAGCTGCCTTATTCCATCCCTAAAGGGTAGCACCCCACCTCTGCCATGCTATCCCAGTGTCTTTAACCTTAAGGTCCCTAATTCTAGGGTCCCCAGCCCAGCTTTAATTTTCAAGAACTATGATTAAAGGAGGTGGCCTTACACAGGGAGCTTGGTGCTCTGTGATGACCTAGAGGGGTGGGATGGCGTGGGAGGGAGGCTTCAGAGGGAGGGGACATACGTATGTTGTTGTCATGTTGCTGAGTTGCTAAGTCGTGTCAGACTCTTTTGTGACCCCATGGACTGTAGCCCACCACGCTCCTCTGTCCATGGGATTTCCCAGGCAAGAATACTGGAGTGGGTTGCCATTTCTCTCTCCAGGGGATCTTCCCAACCCAGGGATTGAACCTGCATTGGCAGGCAGATTCTTTACCACTGAGCCATCAGGGAAGCCCTGGATATATGTATACTTACAGCTGATTCACATCGCTGTACAGTGGGAACCAACATAACACTGGAAAGCAATTATCCTCCAATAAAAAAAAAGAAAAAGAGGTGGCCTTAATCCTTCTCTTTATCCCATCCTAAGGCCCAAGCCCCCTCTCCCCTTCCTCCAAATTCTGATCAGGTAAGCAAGCTTTGCGGCTCAACTCGAGATTGTCTTGGCGTCATTATCTTGGTTCTCCCACTGTTGGTTTTAAGGCCTGGGACCCATCAAGTGGCCCCCTCACAATGGGGAGATTGCAAAAAATGATCTTACTTTACATAAAGGTTCATCATCAGCCCCACCCCAATGCATCTTGCAGAGATTGGGGGTGGAGTGATGGTGTTCTGGCGGTAGAAATGGGGTGCAGTTTCTGCAGAGATGTTTTGCCTTTCAGAAAGGTTTTACAGGGGCTAGGTGGGCCCACAGGTAGAGTTGCTCTAAAAATGCAAGAAGTTTCCAGCTGTGGGCTCTCAGAGGCAAATCTGGAATAAAGGGAAGATCCTCCTATCATGATGTATTACTAAAATCCAGTGAGGCAGCTGCTATACCAGCGACGTTTACA